TTCACACAAGTTTTTCAAGAATGCTGAGTTGTTATACAAGTATTTCAAAAGGAAGAGGTTACAAACAATTTCAAATAAGTATTAGATATTAGTAATTTACAATAGACTATCTCTAACAAGCAAAACCATTTGGACTGAAACTTGTTGACTCTTATTTGGCATCTGATAGTTCAATGACCTTAATGGAATATAAACTAGATAGATAACAATATGACATATTACTATAATAGCACTGGGTATTGGAAATCATGCCACAATACAATATGTATCAAGATAAAAGAAAAACAATATGTATCAAGAATATATATAAAAGAGAAACAATATGTAACAACAATATGTATCAAGATGAAAGAGAAACAATATATTGTATAAACGATATGTATCAAGATAAAAGAGGAACCATATGTAATAAAGATAAAAGAGAAACAATATGTATCATCAATAGGTTTCAAGATAAAAGAGAAACAAAATATTGTATCAACGATATGTATCAAGATAAAAGAGAAACAATATGTATCAAGATAAAAGAGAAACAATATGTATCAAGATAAAAGAGAAACCATATGTGTCAATATAAATGGGAAACAATATGTATCCAGATAAAAGAGAAACCATATGAATCAAGATAAAAGAGAAACAATATGTATCAATATAAATGAGAAACAATATATATCCGACATTGTGTAATTAAACAAAAAAGATCACTTTATCTTCAAAGTTGATTATGTATGAATGTATAATTTTAAACACGAGTAAATAATATCAATAGTAATGTATTGTCATTAATTTTTCAACAGCTTACTGCTGTAACATTTACATAAAAAAGTGGCACCTTAATTTTCTATCATCATGTACATTTGGATAATTTCAGGTTATTTCATGTGTTAGCTTATACATGTTTGTCTAGTAGGCTTAGTATTCAAAGTATCATGGCATGTGATATTGAGATGTGTTGATTCACTGATATATCGTGCCAGCATTACGTATCATAATACATATTGTGCAGCATATCTGTATAGTGTCCTCTATTTTGGAGGAGCACCTCTTTGAAATAATGCAATATACATATTGTGTTAGCATCAAATTCAGTACTCACATCATTGTCCTGAGCCTGAACACGCACAACTACAGTATTGATGAGAACTGTTTCATCAATTGTGACTGAATAAGACTCATTGAAAAATATTGGTGGTCTAGTGTTCCTCAATATATTGACTGTAACAACTTGATTGATCTCTGAGATTCTATTTCCACCATCTCTAGCTTGAACTGTGATCTACAATATAAATATTAAAACCTGAGTAAGTCTTTTTCATTATTACTTATAATTGAAATTATATAAATATAACTGCTACTTAAATCAGAGAGCAACCTTAAAAATTCAACCAATCAAAAGTCTGTAAAAGCGTAGTCTTCATGGGCATGGATGCATTGTCATCAATTATGGCAGGTCATTTCAAACTGAATGAATTCAAAGTATCGAGTTTTCACAACATCATTAGTCCAGAGAAAAAGACACAGAGCTGGCAAACAGTTTACAAATATAAAATCATCATATTCATATATTCTGGGGTTTTAACAAATTTTGATCATTATACTTGTGCCCCTAAATGAAAAAAGAATAAAAACAAGGGCCTAATTTAACACCCTACATAACTTGACTTATTGTCTCATACCAGATACATTGTGGACAATGTAGAACAGAGATGAAACTTACAGCAATTATACAATGCTTACAGGTGTTTATCAAACACTTAATGAAAGGTGTGTTCAAAGAGAAAAGTTTAGACAAACCTGAAATGTATCAATATTTTGACCAGCAGGAGATTGCTTCAGACTGATGATTCCACCATTGGTACCAGTAGAAATTTGGAAATAAGCACGAGCTTCTGTGTTACCAACTATATTGTAGGATATTTGGTTATAAGGATTCTAATAATTAGAAGATGTTACGGTCTTAGTACTTGAATATATTAATAATAGATTTTTACTTAATTATTATTATTATTATAACATGAATCTATATAGCCCATCTTTCACCTGAGTGCCTACATGCGCTTTCCACTAAAATATACAATCAAAATAAATACACAGATATAAATTAATATAACATATATAAAGTTCTACCTCTCCATTAATAGCAATTACTTAAACAGAAACATGGAAGACTTAATGTATATTTGTTTTATTGTATAACCTTTCACCCTTTCTTACACTAGTGTTAATCAAGGAAACTATTTTAACATATTATGTATTGTAAAATTTGACTCTAATGTGCACCCCTTCTTACACTAGTGTTAATCAAGGAAATTATGTTTCAACATAAACATCTATTGTAAAATTTGACTCTAATGTGCAAACCTTCTTACATTTGGTTAAATCAGGGACTCTATTTCACCATTACACTCTGGCAAATGTTGTAAATTTTAGCATCACAATGTTCTGTTAAAGATAAATTATCAAAATAGGTCTGTCTACCTACCACTAGATCTTGATCAGTAGCTGAAACTCGTATTACACTTTGTCCAAGTGGATAATTCTCTATAATGGCAGTGGTAGTTGGTAAATTAGTAACAAATACAGGACTGTTCCTGTTTCTATCAACAGATATTGAAACAGTTGAAGTCCCACTCAATCCACCACCATCTTCTACTCTTATTAACAACTAAAATATATTTACAAAAAATATCATTTCTATTAATACTTACTTAAGTATCAGTGTACCAAAGTGAAGAATTCTTGTTATTTTGAATTTGGTGCTTAAATTTATGATGACTATACATCGTGTCCGTGAAAGAAAACTACTGTACAGATTTATGTAAAATAAATTTCTAATTGTAGAGAAATATGTCTACTACATATTCTAAAGTTTTAACTAATAAGATCAAGCCATTATAAAGTCAAACTAGGTCAAACTTCTTAATTAACAATTAGCACTCTCCGTTTTTAATTAACCATTTCAAAACAAACAGTTTGATCAAGTAGATACATAGAATATTTTCAGACACAATTTACAACAATTTTGACAATGAAAATTTTGCATTATGTCCCTTTAAACCTATGATTATAATGTGTCACCATTGATAGGCTATAACAATGTTTTTACCTTATAATTGAGAGAATCATCTCTACTTAAAATCTCCTTCACCACAATAGCACTGTCACCTGATGCTCTAAAACCAAAATACACAGGACCTTCTCCCTCTCCAATCACACTATATTGTAATGTACGGAAAATCTCCTGGAAAGAAATGAAATGATGTATACACATCCTGCTTTTCTGAACCTTATTTGGCTTAGAGGGTATATGATGCCACATAGATTGCAATAAAGGAAGTTTGCTAAGAAGATGCTGCTAGTCTACACTTTTTGATTTCAAATGGTAAAAAGATCTTCAATGTGAATGTCCAATGGCACTCAAAGCCTGTAGCAGACGGGGTCTACGGATATATTGAAAAACTAGAAATATACCATAACAGCCCCTCAAACTTTGAATAATGGTGTAAGGGCGAAATGGTCAAATAAATGATGATAATAGATTCTTTGCATGAGAACGTTTTCTGAAGTAAATTTACCAATGCTGCAAATTCACTATTGGGTTTATAAATTGCATTTTTTTTTATACTTTGATAGAAACCAATTGCATCCTGCCAATGTCTGACCCTAATAAAGTTAAAAATATGTACTGTCAATGTGAATCCTTATAGATAGAGCTGGGAACAATAACGAAAACCTCAAAACGGGTAAATAACTAGAAAGCATAGACAAGCAAACAATTATTTTACAGGTGTTTTGAACCTATCTTACTGTTAATATTCAAGACCTGTCAGAAGTCAAGAAAGCAAACAAAAACTCACAATTGTGTCTGAATCTATTCCAGCCTCATTAATCACCACAGTACCAACTCCATACGCAGCATCATTAATAGAAACAAAATAGGTCTGATTTGAAAATCGTGGAGCTAGTTGATTTCGTTGAATATTAACTACCAATGTTTTAGTGTCTGTTTGTGATGGTGTTCCCAAATCTCTTGCCTGGATGTTAATCTGATAAAATATAACAATTACATCATAATCCAAATAATAAAAATCCAGTTTCCAAAACATAGAAACATAACAAGACAAACATAAAGAATTATATGATATTCATAACAATTCATAACATATTCAAATTTTGCTATCTCTAACACTTTCATTCAGTAAAATTACACACCTGAAACGTCTTCATCTAAATGCAAACAACTAGTGCTTGGTATTGCCAAGCATGCCACAATACAAATGTATTTAGATACAAAGGTCATATGCTTTTTATCTTTAAAGTTTCAATATTTATCAATTTATATCTTTATAACTGTGATGGTTGGTAATATAGTTGATAGGAATGGTTAACCTCCTCATCTTATATATAGTTTTTACTACTCGAGTCAGTGAGAAAACATGTGATTCCATTTGCTATTCCATTCTTATTACAGAAGAGGTATTGTCATGTATTGCTACATGATGTTACGCAAAGAATCGTTCCTCCAGTAAATCATGCAAACACTACTAACAATCATCAATACCAAAGAAGGAAGTCTCAATTATTTCAATCTTTTACCTACCTGATACTGGGTTTGTCTGGAAGTATCTGTTATGATAGGCTGACGTAAATAAACTCTGCCATTGGTGGAATGGATGAAAAACAGAGTCAAACCAGAATTTGGAACAACTGAGACGATTGAATAGGTAATTGTACTATCAGGTGTGTTCTACAATAAAATATACAACTTGATATGTAAGTACATATACTTAAAATAACATATTATTTTCTGGTTTACATACTTCATTAAGATAGCAACACCATGCAGTATACAATAGGAAATTTGGATCAAGTAAATTGACTGTCGAAAGAGATTGCAACAATTGAATTGGCCTGAAAATAAAGACTATCATTGACTTATTGACCAGGTTAGAACCATATCAGAACCAAATCATAGAAGTAATTTTCAAGTAGAGTTATACCTGCGGATCTTGGTCAGTAGCAGAAGCAAAGGCAGGTAATTCTCCAAGAGCTTGATTTTCAGGAATATTAATAACTGCAGGATTAATGGTAAGAGAGGGAGCAGCATCATTGACATTTGTCACAGTAATCCTGACACCTGCTCTATACTGTGTGTTCAAAGAGTTTCGTCCCTGTTGAGTGGTTACAGTAAACTGTAAACTTTGTCTCAATTCAAAATCCAAGACTTGAGTTGTAAATATCCGTCCAGTATTGTCAATCCTAAATGGTACATTAGTTTCTTGTATGATATAATCGATAGTAGGTGTAGAATCAGCATCCACAGCCTGAAAGATAATCAAAAACACTAAACCATAAAGTCAACACACCAGCAACAACCAGCCTTGTCTAATTCTATCTAAAGACTTTAAAAAAAAAGAATGAACAAAGGATAACAACTTATGACTCTGTCACAAGACTTTCACACACCTTCTAAGCAAATAAAATAACATTCTTATGCTGTTACTGTCTGTGTTACAGCAATTCCTGTTGCTGTGGTTTCTTAATTTTTTAGAAATATTTCATTACATAATATAAATAGTTTCCGAGCTATAATGATAATTATATTTTAGGCTTGTTTTATAAAATGTTGACAAGGATAATAAATAAATAATCTACGACAACAGAAATCTGATTCTGCTTATAAAATTAATTTTAGTGCTTTTTAAAATTTATTATGTTTCTGAGAATAAAATAAAGTTTAGTTTATCAGTACTTACTGTTACAGTTAAAACAGAAGTACCTATAGCCTCATTCTCAGGTACACTCCCCTCAAAAAATGTTTGAACAAATACTGGTATATTGTCATTGATATCCTGTACATTAATAGTCACAGTGGCTGTAGCAGTTCGAGGATATGTACCACTATCTACAGCTAAAACAGCTAGTAAATATTGTGACTGACTTTCAAAATCCAAAGCAACCAAATTACTGATTTGTCCATTATCAGAGTTGACAGTAAACCTAAAAAAAAATATTCTTAAACTTCAATGCCAGGTCGAGAACAGCAGTGGCAACTGAAATGAATATACTTGTTTAATTATTTGCCTGAACTATTGACAAAACTCAATTTCAGCTCTCAGTCTAACATTTCAGTCAAGAGAACCCTATCGTCTACAATTCAAAGGTGATGCAGATGAAGGGAGAATAATTTATCAAAGAATAGAAATAAGATCTGGAATCATCAAAATAGGGGCAAAAAAACTTAACTTACACATTTTGATAGTTATTTAGGGAAAATCGGACAACAGCATTATTTCCTTCATCTCGGTCTTGAGCCTGCAATAAACACATAATTTATCTAGTATGTCTGGTCAATCTAACAAATAACAAAATTTAAAAATCTCAAAAAATCCTTTCCTCCCACATTTGATATTACAATTGACTAGATTATTTTTAGCAGTAATAGTCTACTAAGGGGAGACTTGAAAAGAAGTTCTTTCATGACAGTCATATAATAAAAACAAACAGTTCTTAATTTGAATAATTTTGAAATGATTATCTACTTATCTTCTATTGGATTTTACATATATGGATAGTTCAAACTATTGACCAAAAAGTCAACAAAAAATTTCATCAAAGTATGAGGATATAAAATTTATTGAAAAATGAACGAAATTGTTTTCAAATTCCATTGTGTATTGCATACCAAGTTTCATAAATAAAATCAAAACTGCAGTCTTCATCATAATCAAAAGCCAATAGCAACATTTTTATTATTATCAATCTCAACTCATCAATAAAATATAAATAAATAAATAACAGCATCTTTATTTCAAATATGCACAACATAGTACAATAAAATAATTTTAAGTGAATTGTAAAATAAATATCTTAACAACATACAATATAAGCAAAGTGTAATGGAAATAGAATGAAAACTGCAGACTTTATGACAGAAGTAACTATGTGAGAGTATAACAATTAGTAATCAAATCATCTACTTACACTAACACTGGCAATATTGACATTATTCTGATTTTCGTCAATAAACACATTTTGATTTTCAAGAGTAAAAATAGGGTTGTTATCATTGATATCTGTTAATATAAAATCAACTGTAGCTCTTGCTGACTGTAAAATATAATAGGAATAATAAGCTTAAATTAATATGCAAAAAAATAATAAACCCAATACATGTATACATCAGTTAAACCATGAAAAAACAATAACCCTTTAATATCTAAGATAAATCATAAAATATCAAAGCTACGAAGATAATATTTTGACCTCATATCAATTAAGATACTTATCCCACCCTTCTTATCATTTTAAAGGGACAGGTAGGCCATTTTTTAACCAATCATACATTCGTCTCAGAAAATGGAGCAAATCTGTTATAGTACTCACAGCTCAACGTTGAAATTTGAGCATTCAAATACATATGTGTCCAGAACAATCTGCATTTGAATGTTAAAATGACGACTTGTAAATTTAAGATACTAAGTATTTTTAAAGGAGTTATGCGATTTCCGGAAATTTCTAGTACTTCTGAAGACTATTTACAAATGTTAACCCTAAAATCAACCCTGAAATGGCACACCTGTCCCTTTAAGCATTTTTTCAATGAGATAAATACATGACAATTAATTTATCATACATGTGAATACCATTCAGATTATCGGTGCTTACAAAGATACAAATTGAAAACTCAAAAAATGTGTGTTGTTGATGTTACAATATCCTTTGAAGGAATGTTTGAAATATCTTATATAACAGTTGATTCAGCTCAGAACACAAGGCCACAAAGATAAATCATCATTATTGTTTTGTTCAGGTACAAAATAATCGATGTTTGTTATTTTTAGGGAGGTAGGACTTGAGGAAAACAACAGCTGTTCTCATCAAATGCATCAATAAAAAAATCCAAAAAATGAAACTTCAATGATAATGGAGTAACTTACTCGTAATTGGTTATCTCGTACTTGAAACACAACAGTATGATTATTTATAAATTCCCGATCTAGCTGTCTTCGTGTTGTTACAATACCTCTGTAATTAATAACATATATTTACATTTCTACTATCACTCCCTTCAATAAACCAGTTAGCCAAACCGGCTAATAACTGTAGTTTGTCACGTGACAATAAGGTGTATGAATACATCGAAAACGAAAACAAGGATTGACCCAAGTTTTTTACCTAGAGTTGGAAAGCGATTTACAATTATTCAAATTTACAATTGTTGTTAATATTTCAATGGAATAATAAATATTTGATAATTCTTTCATCAAAATAAGACTGTCGATTTATAGAAGTATATTGTTAGGGGCTTATCTCGGGCAAAAATTAGAAATTTCATAACTATATTCAGGCACTTTCAGACATTTAAATGGATTAATTTCGCACATTTGACTTATACTTGAGCTCCAGGGTTGAGAGTTGGAGATCTTCACCTCCCTAAGAAAATTTTAGGATTTTTCAGAATTTTGGGGCTGCTGGACAAACTGCATTTATGCCTTTAGCAAGCATGAACTTTTCTTTAAAATTCATACAACTAGAAATAGACTATTATTTTAGGAAAATATTACCGAACCATATATATATACATACAATTTTTATGTATATTGGATGAGAAATGAAAATTTACAGTATTGTGTACAGACAGAATCAAGATACCAGGTTGATCTGTTTGTTAGATGAAAGTTAACGTCTGCTTGGTTGGAAGAAAATATATGTCACTATATATATAGTTTAAAGTTTACTTACGTTGTGCTATTAATTTCAAAGTAGTTTCCACCAGTTGTTTGATTTTGAAGTGGTAATTCTGATATCAAGCTATAGATTAAAACATCATTATCATCATCAACAGCCTACAAATCAACAACAGTTAGTTCAAATATAGGTAGGTAAACCACTCCTCGTTCAAAAATTGAAATCAATGGATTGTCACTCAAGAATGTTTATGGCAAATTAATTTTCTTGAAATAGGTTTAACTTAGTCAATAGTGCTTCCTCCATTTCACACATAAAATGGAAATATAGGTCCTCAACTTAAAACTAATAATAAAGGGGTATAAAGGGGAATCAAGCAAGAGTCAAATCACTTCCAGTCAATCAGGATTGACTTCTAAGTCTAGAACATAGATGAAAAGATAAGTGCTTACTTTTTTCTGGGGAAACCTAACTTTTGTGTACATTTTGAATAAATAAAAATTGATATAAGTCTTATTTTATTTCCTATTCAATCCATTTTGCCCAGTTTGCACAGTGACTTATTGCTTGTTTTATGAATTAGGGTGTCTGTTATCATACTGAGGTTCATGTTTAATAGTTATGAAAGTAACTACTTACAGGTAGTTGAAATACGGATGCACCAATAAGAACTCCCTCACTAACGTAGTTAATGTAGTTGTTAAATGGAATGGATGGACCAGTGTTTATGGTAGTTGTTCTAACTCGTACCAGTACAGCAGTTTGCGAAGATCTACAAGTAAAAATAGGCTTTAGCCACAGCAGAAATTTCAGCCTAAGACTTATTTTTCCACTCAAAATTGTCAGATCAATTGACATGATTGTCAAAATATATGTTCAAATGGAGAGATGATATGAAAAAAGTTTTGTTGCAGTCTAAAGAATTTCCAGCTGTATTTGTTTTATGTCCTATTGTATTGTCAACAAGTTGATAAAATAAGAATGATGACCTATTGAAGACCTCAAGGCTTTCTGCTCTAGATACTGATTGAAGTCTCAACCCATGAATCTTGACTTGACTTAAAGCTACAAATATGAATATTTTACCTTCGCTCATTCAAAGGGGCATTATCTGTAGCTCGTACAGTTATAGTGTAATTTTCACCACTGCCAACACTATCAATAAGACGGATTAATCCATTAGAATCTATAGTGAATTTATTTCTACCATTATTATCCACATTTTCTATACTGTAGATTATTTGACTGTTTTGTGTACCAGCACGGTCTGCATCTTGGGCTTGAACCTTAAATAATAATATAAATCAATAGGAACGCAGGTCAGTTGTCTGCAGATTGCATAGTGTGAAAATCTGAGTAACAATATGATATAAGTTCTGTTTTAATATTTCTAAACCAATACTTCTTATAGATATATTAAAGATGGGTTCCCTTATTTTCATAAATGAAAATGCTAATACTTATATGAATAGAAAGTAGAGGTGTTCTTATGACTTTACCAGTTTGTCTCACATGTCCATAATTAATTCATAATTAGCTAAATTTGAAGAGAATTGCCAGCAGAATTCCAATGAGTGACTGATCAAGAAAGGTCAAAATGTCTTTATTTTGTTTATCCAGACTGTACAAACATGGACATTTATGATTGGTTGAAACGTTTAATTATATACAATAAGAACAAAATGATGTGATAAAGAATACATGATAATTCATTAGAAACACCATTAATCAAATAGTTTGCTTAATTTGACACTAAAAAATAAGAAAAACCCATCTTTAAAAAAATGTGAACTATTAAAAGATCACAAATCAGAATACCAATAAAACTATGTTTTTCTTATGGCTAATGTCATGATTTTTCATATACATATATAATACCCTCATACATGGGAAAATTACCCTGTGAAGAATAGTGATCTGAATAGAGCTATAAAGATTCACCCAATAAATCTGATGTAGCTAAAAGAAATAATATATCAACTGAGAAACCTAAATCAAACTAATTGTTGCAACAAGACAAAAGTTGTATAAACAACATAAAACATCAACTTACTGTTACAATGTTGAGTGGATTCGAATTTCCATAGTTACCAGAAGCTATTTCTCTACTATAAATAGATGTTGGGAAAGTGGGTGTGGCATCATTTACATCCACTACATTAATAGTCAATGTAGCTGTTGCAGAACGCATTGGGTTCACATTTTCTACTACACGCACCTAAATTACATAGAATTAAAAAATACATTTTACTCTCAATATGAGAAGCTCAGTGGACATACCATACAGCTGGGTACATAGCTCTGACCACATACC